ATAACTGCCCCAGGAAAACCATTTGAAGAATCGGACATTATAGAACTTGAAAGCCTTCGTAATCAAGAAGTTATGAAGTTTATTACATATGATCCTAACAAACACATGGGTCGCATTTTTAAGTCAAGAATGGTTCGAGAAATCAAGGGTAAAGCAACTGGTTCACCATATGAGAAGTCAAGACTGGTAATACAAGGGTATAACGACGAAGGTAAGGCTACAATTCTCTGCCAGGCTCCAACAATTCAACATGCAAGCCAACAAATCATGTTTGCAATTGCTCCATCACTGTGCGCTTTGGGCATTCATTTTTGGTTAAGGGATATTACACAAGCATATGTGCAAGCTAAAACTCACCTTAATTGCACAATATTAGCATATATCCCAAAAGAACTTGAAAGTAAATTCCCTCCGCAAACAATCATGCATCTTGTTAAACCACTCTATGGAATACCAGAAGCCGGGCTACACTGGTGGGTGACATATTTTAAGCACCATACAAACAAATTGCTTATGGAAACATCGACCTACGATCAATGTCTCCTAATCACTAATAGCAAGGAGTATTTTGGTGTTGTTGGAATGCAGATGGATGATACGTTGATTTTGGCCAATATGGAGTTCTCTGAGCGTGAAGAAACTGAACGAGCCAAGGCAAATTTCATTGCCAAACCAAAATTAAGATTAACTCCTGACAAGGATCTTATCTTCAATGGCTGTATCTTAAGCCAAAATGGTAAAAATTTGCTAGTTTGTCAGAAAGAACAAGCCAAGAAAATTGCTCTTATAGCCCCTGATTTTATGGATAATTATAGGAGTTATGTTGAGCAAAGAGCTCGTGGCGCTTATATAGCCTCTATATGTCAACCTGAAGCAACTTTCGATATGTCAAGTGCAGCCCAACATCAAAGTCCTGGAAAGGAAGAAATTGACGCATTAAATAAATGTCTAGACTGGCAAAAGAAAAACGTAGACCGTGGATTGACCTACGTTCCATTGGAACTAAACAGCGCGAAGCTGTACATTTTTGTCGACGGCTCGTTTGCAAATAACAAAGATTTAAGTTCACAAATTGGAACTATAATAATTTTAGCAAACGAGACTTCAACAATGGACTATGAATTCGTTATCAAAGGTAATATCATTCACTGGTTTTCTGTCAAGGCCAAGAGAGTTACCAAAAGCGTTTTAGCATCTGAAATCCTTGCAATGAGTAGCGGAGTTGATATTGCTCACGTCATACTAAGCACTCTACAAAAAATTACAAACCAGATTAAGATTGCCAGAATTCCAATGGTCGTGTGTACTGATTCTTACTCTCTCTACAAATGTCTTGTCAAGCTTGGTAGCACCAAAGAGAAGCAACTCATGATCAACATCATGGCCCTTCGACAATCCTATGAGCGTCGAGAGATTATGGAAATTTGATGGATCAATGGAGAAGATAATCCTTCTGACGCAATGACTAAAAATGCTCCCAATAATGCACTCACTACTTTTATTGATACCAATTGCCTCAGGATACGTGTTGAGGGATGGGTGAAGAGAACTCCCGAAAAACTTTAATTATCTGCTTGAAGATATTGGCCTACCACAAAGCTTTCATTTTGATAAATTTATTTCCTTAAATATGATCTGCAATTTATGATTTGGCAAAAATTATGAAATTATTCTCAAAAGAGAAAAACTGCCAGTGTTTGGAGTATATCTGTAGAACTGGCGTAATCACGTGTAATTCTAGTTTAATTATGTAATCATATAGATACAGCATTGCCATCTCCTTAGATGGAAAGAATAGACATCATTCACATATACTGACATCAGACCCCTTGATTGGATCCAATTGCTACCTGTGATACCAACACCCTCCTTGTCTTTTCTTTTAGTTATTGTGCGTAGCTTTAGGTCCAAATTCAAAGCAATTAAACTTTTATCTATCGAGGGTGTCTTCTAGTGTCACACTGAGGTCGGTCGTAATATAAATGAGATCTTACGCCCATACCTGAATATATTTTGTACAGCTTACATAGATAATGTTTTGGTGTATTCTGAGAGCCTCGAGGATCATAGGGATTATGTCAAAACCGTTCTTATAGTACTTCAAGAAGTAGGCCTTCAACTGGACATGAATCAGTACAAATTCGAGGTTACAAAAGTTGCGTATTTAGGAATGATCATCTCAACTACCGGATTTAAAATGGATCCAGTGAAGATCCAGAGCATAAGAGGCCGGGAGCCCTCAACTAATGTAAAAGATGTGCAAGCCTTTCTTGGATTCTTAAACTTGTATTGGCGATTTTTAAGGGGATTTTCGCGTATTTTTTGGCCTAAACTGACTCTAACACAGAAAAAAGCAACCTTCGTGTGGTCATTATTATGTGACTTAGCTTTTGGGATACAACAAAAACATTTATCTCAGCCCCATTACTCTGCCACTTTGACTCTTCACGCCCAAATTTTGTCAAGTTTGATGCCTCTGACTGGGTTTCTTCCGCAATGTTAATACAAAAAGACAATAATGCTGGACTCCATTGAGTTGCCTTTATGTCGAAGAAGTTTGAATCCTCGGAATATAACTATGAAATATACAATAAAGAGCTTTTGTCAAGTGTGCGTTGCTTCGAGAGCTGGCACCTGGAACCCCAAGGCTTAGAAGATTCCATCACAGTGCTATGTGACCATCGCAACCTTGAGTATATCATGTACACAAAGCAGCTTTCACGTCAACAAGTTCTTTGGAGCAAATCCTCGGAAAATTTGATTTCGTAATTTAATACCACCCTGAAACACTGAGCAGGAAGCCAGATTTGCTCACGCGCCGCTACCAAGACCTGCCACGAGATTTTTTGGGTAAGCAATTACAAGAAAACCAAGTCTACATTCTCAAGCCTCACCAGGTACACCCAATAATTTCCCAGACCATTCAAAAATCTATCGAGGAGACTATCAATTCCACTAGCTCAGCAGAACTTACTAAGATTGAAACCCAAGTGTTGGTATAAATGTCCTGACCTCATTTTCCAATGTTAGTCATAGATAAGTCATTATTCATTTTGAGTATTAGTATCTTTTGTAGAATAGTGTTGCAACTGACCTGAGGATGAAACAGGTATCTAAGAAGAAGTTGTATTTGGACATTAGGCTACAATACGTAGGTAGGAGAAAAGACAAAGAGAAAGGAAATGCCGGGAGCTACGAGCTTGAGGTAAGCTTGACTGCGGCTCCACCTTATTCCGGCCCACGTCTCTGTTATACACCATCACGTGATCCCGGACTCTTCCACCAGTCTACCTCCAAGTGCCCTAGCAAGTCCAACCATAACAAATAGGTGAACAGATAAGATCCACCAACAAAACCGCAGAAACGTGACATACAGTTCGCGTTCTTTGCGACGTATTTGAGTATCCCAACACAGATCAGTAAATAAGTAGAGTTGGAAGGATATTGCTTTTCACCTTTTACTTTTATTTCAGCTGAAGAGAAGGAAGTATCTATCCGGAAGCTTGATGGCTTATCTTATCAATCAATTATCACCAGTGGGTTCGATTCTTCTTTAGCAAAATTACTGATATTTAATTGGAAGGATATTGTTTCCCATCTCTTAAGAAATATCGATTCTTTTAAAGCATAACAACTAAATATGACAGAAAAATATTGGAAGGATTGAGAGGCCAAATAGAATGAAGTAATCAATCCCAGCATGGAAACTTCTCATGATATCAGCTCCCACATAAAAGCGAAGATCCATTTCTACAAGGGAGACAACACTACTGACTCAAATCTATGAGAATAGTACCAAGATGACTTGGCAACCTTTACAATGGCCATTTCCAAAAGCCCTAAACTCAAACTTACTCAACAATTACGAGACTGCCTGTTAGGTAGAGGAGTTTTTATAGATTGCTACACAAATAGACTCACTCTTTCACAGGCACTTTAAAATTGCGCAAAGGAAGAAGAACAGCACAAATGGTCCAATAGTGATGTCATTGTTGGTAACACTCAGTGGCTACAGTTTCCAGCATATGCTTGAAAACTGGTGTAAAATGGTTGTATATTGGTTGTCTCTATTCTATCTACATGATGAGGGGTTCATATTAGTATTCACGTAGGTGCCCATGCACGCCATGCACGCCATGCTTAACCTTGCTGCCTAAGGTATCTATGTACCATAGGCTACTATAGATCTGAACAGTCATCAATGCTGCTGAAAATTAGAAGAGCCTCTAAAATCAGTAAAGCTAAAACAATGTTTAGATGCAATCCAAGTAGACAATAAAAACATGGAGAAATATAGTGACAATGGCATCAAGTTCAAGACTGAAAAATCCTCTGATCTGCAAATACCCCTAAAACTAATTTCGCCCAATTCAAAAGTACTACCTTCACAAAGCCCGCAAAGAGTACAGGCTCTTGGACCGACTTCACTGATACCTGCTCCTGCGCATGTTGCACAGATGTCGAACTTATCAAAGTTTATGCTGCCGAGGCAAAATACAAAGGAACTTGGGATAGTATAGATCACAAATTGACGAATTTTCACCACCTCTGTGACCTCACCAGTGTAGTCAGAAAGGCATGCCCAAGAGTAATCTCAGTAATGCTGTCAGGATTTGCAAAAGAGCACTACCTCGTAGCAAATCTGTTGTATTTAACTTTCGAGCAAGCAGTTGACCATCATTGTAACTTCTTCGAAGGCCCTGGTTACAACCGAAGGAATTTAGGCAAATGGAACAGAACATATTTAAAGTTGATTATGTTGCAAAAGAAAGCCAATATAACTTATTAATGTTTGCAAATCTTGATTCAAACACTGGGAGAGATCCAGCATGGCCTAACAAAAGATCTCTGTACCAACCCCTTTATGCACAACAGAATTATTACTGCGTACAAGGGCGTTCTGGCTTGTAGATATGCCATTACAAACCCGCCACCAAAAGTTGGTGAACCCTTGAATCAACCACAGAACTCTATAATAGCCCGTGAAGGAGAAGAGAAAAATGATCAATTCAATATTAACCAAGATTCATTCTTCACAGATAGACAATATCATCAAACAGGTCAAGCACAAACCAGTAAAAATAATATACAAAGCAAGACATGTTATATATGTGGCAAAGAAGAGTGTAGTTCATGGAAGCACACCAATGATGAACGCGAAAGATCTAAGGCAATGTTTCGAACTTCACTTAGAGAAAAGCTAGGGTCCCAATTTGTTGGTGGCAATTGTCTCGGACCAAGAGCCTATTCTGGGTCAATAGGAGCTCTGTATGAAGATATCTGTGGTATTCTGCTATATTCTATCCTAATCTTTTCTGTTCTGTTCTATCCTATCTTACTCCATTTCATTCTAATCTGTTCTGTTCTGATATGTACTTGTCTAGACTATTCTATTCTGTATGAGAGTATATTGGAAAGTTCGAGAACAATAGAGCGGAATATATAATGGGTAATTGGGATGACTTTAGTTCGGCAGATTATGGTGTTGTATTCTTAGGAACCTTTTGACAATATTGAATTTGTGTCCATCTTGACCTTTTGACATCTTGATCTTTTGACATCTTGACCTTCTGACATCTCCGAATATTAATTTATCGAACTCTCGACTCATTGAACTCTCGACATCTTGACAGCAATTGCTTCAAAAAACAATCCAAACAATATATAGTCGACTGTGAAAATGATAATGGATCCTACGCAGACAGCGACGAATTTGAAGACGCCCTAGAGCTTTTGAGATTGAAATACAAGGTGATAACAACGATGCTCGAGAAATAGACGAAACTGACGTCTTCTTCACTTCACTCAGCAACATTAGTTGCACTGCTACTAGATCTACAATGTCAGAAAAGGCAGCAGATTTATTAAACAGATCCTTCATTCACACTCTTACTTAAACAAAGAATATTGCATCTAATTCCTTTGAAACTAACCCCTTTGCCTATAACACATCTCCTTGTTACACTTTCGAAACATTTATGGGCATCATGATTGACACAAGAGCTTCTCAGAGATCGACTGCTGGTTATGGCCAATATACAGCACTCCAAAAGCTTCATAATAATGGTTTGAATTCAAACAAGCTTGATAAGGGACTAGTGAATATGCAACTTCGAATTGAGTCTATGTCCTCAATTAGATTGATGAAAGTAGATTTGCCAATTTGAAGATTTGAATTTCGTATTCTCAGGGCTGATACTCCTTCCTTACTGTGTCTTGCAGATATGGATAAGCTAAAAACTTACTTCAACAATCTTACAAACACTTTAATGACACCTCATGGAATTGTGCCGGTCGTGTAAAGATTTGATCATCCATTCATACTCCGGGATAATTCACTCTCGATTTATATATCTGAATCTTTCAACCAATGCTCTTGCTATCTTACCAACATTGAGATCCAACAGCTTCACTGTCGATTTATTCACCCTTCTATTGGTAGGCTTCGTTGTATATTAGAGCGCTCAGAACATGGAGATGAGAATCACTGCAAAGCCCTGGAAGCAATCACACGATTTTGCAAACACTGCCCAAAGTACGGTAAATGTGACAGAAGCCAAGTTGGTGATGAATAAATTGATTTCATAAACTGTATGAGGAGAAAAGCTAACTCTAGCTACTACTAACAGGTATTTATAAGAGTTTATCCTCCTCGTGAATCTGCAGACTAGTGACTTGTCCTTAGGCACAAAACTTCTTACCCAGCCACGTATTTCCAGGTGTCACTTAGTTGTAATGACGCTTCAGCCTCCTGAGTAGTAGTGCCGCTTCGTTCAGCTTCATCTCCCCCCCATACAGCCTCATTGTAAGAATTCTTAGTATCAGGCTTAGGTATCCACCTAAGCTCAAACAACAGTCAAACCATAACAGTAAATTGCCTGAACAATTCAAGTTAACATTAAAAGAAGACATTCAATTTAATTGCTGTATCTTTGCTAATCTAATGTATATTGACAGGGATCCTCTCCTTTATGTTGCTATTCAAGGCACAAGGTTCCTGTCAAGATTACGAGAGGTGTTTGCATTCCTAGGGGTCAAGAATTCGACATTTCAAGGGTTTGACAGTTCTAGGGTTTGATAGTTTAAGAGTTTGACATAAGATAATATTCAATGATTGTTGGAATATTTCTTATGGATTCTTTGTTTGTGGTAATGTCACAGGCTCATACCTGGTTATCATTAGGCTGCTGCCTAACAAATAAGGCTTGAACTCTTCCAACCATATTAAACATCATACATGTCATGAACCCCTCCACAACTCATTAGACCCAAGTATAGGCCTTGGCCCAGTTCATGCAAATCTATTCTTAAATGACAAATTTAGATTGCAGACAGGACGACTCGAACACCAGTCGTGAGTCATCTAAGCCACATGCATCATAACTATTTTAATAACTAAAATTACTAACATTAAAATGAAGCTGAATTAAAATAGACGGAGATGCTGGTGTTTGTCAGAGGACAGGTCATGATCTATTTTGAGAATGGTATGAAATGAGGGAACGAGATCATAGTCTTGTAAATAAATAGGAGGCTTTCAGTCATGTCTCTGCTTGTTACTTTAAGATTTTCATTTGTATCTAGCTCTGAGTTCAGTTTGAATAAAACGCCACTTTAAGACTGTCACAGGTAACTCAATAACAATTGTTTCATTCATTTGCATCTATCTTCATTTGTGATGGAGCGCCAGGGCCTTAATAACCTTGAACACTCGTCACATGATATATGCTTACACAGCTATTACTAATTATTACCCATCAGTCATCACATCTTCATAATCATTATTACCGCCCAAACTCCGGCATCCTTGCTTAATGCACATCCAAATAAAACTTGCTTCCTACTATTCAACAACAATTTCTAAAAAGTTCCTGAGGACACAAGACCATAATCTACCAAACCAAAGTCATCCAAATTACCCATTATATATTCCTCCCTATTCCTCTCTACTATTCTCGATCTTTCCAGTATACTCTCATATAGAATAGAATGGAGTAGAATAGAATAGGATAGAATAGAATAGATCAGATCAGGATTGAATGTAGCAGAATAGCACAGATATCTTCGTACATAGTTCCTATTGACTCAGAATAGGCCCTTGATCTGTAACAGTTCCTAGCTGGCAGGTGGTTAAAGATTATGTCTGCCAAGAGTACCTTGGATGCGCTATGTGATTGCTGGATTAATACTTACTTGGGACCACCAGATATAATATCATATGACGCTGGTAAAAATTTTGCCAGTAGGGAATTCTAGCAGTGTGCCAATAATGTTGGCTCTACTACAAAGAGTATGCCAGTAGAGGCTCATAACTCTGTAGGCATAGTCGAAAGATATTACGGCCCCCTTTGCTGTATCTACCAAATTATCACAGCATAAATACTTGGTATCAACAAAACTTTAGCCCTGCAAATGACTTTCAAAGCTGTAAATAATTTCGTGGGACATCATGGGCTGGTTTGTACCATCTTGGTATTTGGTGCAAATCCACGTATGGCTACATAAAATGCTCCCTCGCCCACCGTGACACAAAGAACGGAAGCCCTTCGTAAAGCCATGAAGGAACTAGAGCAAATCCGTTCCACACGACAATTCAATGATGCACTAAGTATGTGAAACAGCCTTTCCACTATAGCAATAAATGCCTTGCCGCTCAAATTGCTGTTGAGATTGGCACTACTTAGAAATGAAGAGTCTCGTTAATATAGAATGTAATAAGTGTTAAAGTTATGAGCTTGAGCAACAATGGAGGTTGTAGCGGAATCAGTGTCGGCGGTTAGACCGATGCAGTAAGTCTTGTATGAGGTTGTGAGAGGAAGATCCGAGTGGAAACAATTGTATTTAGATGTATGGTTCAGAGTAAAACTGAGATGATAAGAGTGAGATTGCGTGTTTGCATATCTTATCAACTGTGGCTTTTGACCAGTATTTATCAATCTCCATAGATTGTAAGTAATGATCCCTGTAGATGTAGATCTATGTACATACACATATATGGGCCAGGAATATAAAGCTAAATACATGTGTGACGGTAATAGATGCGAGAAAACTATAACCTGCATTTGAGGTATAGTCATCTGCAGAAATGCTAGTGTGAAATAAACGCTAATGCACATTAAACTTTCGGTGAAGGATGTATAGATAACAGTGATATAGAATGGGGAATTTGATAGTCAAATTAGCCGGACTTACTAATAAGTTATTCTTGGCATTCCAATATATATCATATTTCAACAATAAGGTTCTATTATTACTAGCCACATTTATGACAACTCACACATTGACCAGCTTTCATGGATCATTCTGGCATAGCTTAATATGAAACGCCATGCGGACGGCTGAGTTGAAACACAAATAATAGTTCAATGCACTTCTAAAACCAGCAAGGAAGACTGATAAGAATGGGCTGGTTTCATTAGGTGATGTGTAGTAGATTGTTGGGCATAGGGGCTGTGTGCTAAGTGCTATTTGGTAATTTTATGTATATAAATACTCGGCGTGAAGAAGCATCATTCTTCACGCAACGTCTTCTTCAATTACCTTAACAATACATTTGTTTACCCATCTCTTCTTCGGGAAGACCATTTATCTATTTCCAGCTCTTCATCAGCAAGACCCACTTGTAGCCTTTATCATTACTATCTACCTATTTGTCTCTTCCTAGAGAAGACCAGTCATCCCTTCGACCCACTCATCACCTTCATCAACCACCTAGATCTTCGTTAGACCACATACGCACCCTATGGAACACTGTCCTAACCTCGCCCTTGAGACCAGCCTCCCAAGGTGGACTATGCTCAACCCCTGTCAGCGGTGTCCCCCACAAACCTCCAGGTCTCACTGTAGAGTCTGCAGAGCCGAGATTGAGTAACAAAGTCCTCACTTTAACGAGGATTCCCCATTGCTTGCGCGGTCTGTACCGTCTTTATCTCTCAACACATTCCCCTATCACCATTATCATGAAGCTAACCACGACCAGATCAGATAGTAGGATCAGAGCCCTATTCATCACCAATCCTTGATCATGGAGGAGAAGTCATCCGATGAGTTTCCGGAGCGTACCAAGCACCCGATACGGAGATGGCGAATTGGTTCAAGTCGACCTCGACTGTTACAAAGAAGGGAGATATAGATGAATATACGCACCTCATGTGGTCCCGGTGTCTAGGCCTCGCCTGACTGTGGCTGTAGGGTTTTTAAGACT